GTGTATGATTCCAGTCCCTGGCCCTTCGTCTCTCCTCAAGGCCAGGGCATTCACACCCGATGAATGTATGAGAGTTGTTCGATTGCAGTCCGAGTTAGGTCTGAGTCAATCCAAAGGTATCATGCCCTTCCGCTGTATTTGTATCAACTCTGTATTATCTGGTCGGTTATGGGAATCTGCGCCATACTTATGATTGTGTTTCACAAGTATGCAACATCTGGCCTGCCCAGTTTCAGCCTCCCAGGCCCTTGAACGTGCAGTCCCACTCCGGTACTTGCCGCAAAAAATGGACTGGACTGGGACTGCCCTTTCGTTTGCCCCTTCAGTGTTTGACTTGGGACTCTTGACCTTTCAGAGATCGATGGACTGCCCTTTCAGTCTGCGAGAGGTCAAGTTGACTCTTTGAGGACTGTTCTAGTCACAACCTAGTGACCTTGTAGAGGACCTACAGATGACCCTTAGGACTCCTAAACATCTAACCTACGGGTCAAGTCCACACGAACGAAGCTGCACACACAAAACATTTGTACACAGTTTTAGGGACAGGTCATGGGTTCAAAACACACAGGGTCAACAAACAACTGTACAATGGGCTAGGGGAGGTCTGGGGATCGAGTCCTGGTATTTGCCCCCTCCCGCCGTCCTAAATTCGAGGTCCTCCTAGAACTCTTTAATCCAAGGCAGGACCTTTGCCTTTTCTTGCTCTCTCGTAAGCATGCACTATGTTGGGAGCGGTTTCTAGAAGCTCGGTCCTTGTGAACCATCTGTCGTCCTCAAGTTCCTGGTAAGCAAACTGGACTTTGTACTGCTTCTGGGGACGACCTCTACCTCCAGTCCATAATACATCTTCTTCTAGTATTTGGTCTATGTCATAGGTGCCATCCATATCTGGCGGAATCATTGATCTCCGCGAAGGAAACTGCTGATTGGTGACACAAGGTAACAACTTCGATGCATGGAAGACCGGATACGCATGGAGGTGAGGTGGAATTTCTATCGTATATGATGGTCCATCCTCTGCCACGACCCTCTATACGAGGGCAAGAGTTTCTGCGAGATGTTTTCTTCTGGTGCGAATTCCTCTGACTTGACCCAAACTAAGCCGCCTACCCTGAATTGCAAGGGTCTGTGATGTTTATTTGCTTGTTCAATCATGCGATGCTTGGATTTTCTAAGGTTTTCGATCACCTTCTGCACTTCCTTCTCGTGCTGCAGAGCAAACTCTCTTGTACGGGGCGGTAACCTCTGAATCTGGTCCCGGTTAAGTCCTTCAAACGGTCGACGTGGTCTAAAGGACTTATGCAGCTCGTTAGGAGTCTTGCAAGTAGGTAGATGTAAGCTGTTGTTGTAGGCACTAGCTACTTTGGGAAGCATCTCGTCCCAATTCACTTAATCGGGTCTAATATACATTCTGAGTAATTGCTACAAGTTCTTATTCATCTGTTATGTCTGGCCATTTGTCTCTGGATGACAACCGGACGACATCAACAACTTAGAACCTTAAACTTTCATGAGATCTTGCCAGTTCTAGCTGGTAAACTGCGTGTTTCTATCTCTAACTATTGACAGCGGTATGCGATGCTCACTTACCCAGAAATCAAAGAACTTCTCTATGACTAATTCAGTTCTTGCCTCTGCGGGCAAAAGTACGAAAACTGCATACTTACTAAATTGATCTATTATGACCATGACTTGATTTTTCCCATGCCTACTTCTAACCGTTGTGTCCATGAAGTCAATGGAAACAAACTCTTTGGGCCCTGCTGGGATATGGAAGGGTCTAAGAAGACCTAGAGGTGCTCTTAACGTTGTCTTGTCATGCTGGCAAACTTTGCAGCCGCAGACATACTCTATACAGTCGGCTTTCATGCCAGACCATGTATACGACATTGATAGGTTGGCTAATGTTTTTTGCCAGCCAAAGTGTCCTTCTGTATCATGTTATTCCCCTAGGATCAAACTACGGATCTCTTCACTATTGGGAACGCACAACCTATCAACGACATTGGTCTCCTCAAAGAGTAGCCCGTTTGTGGTCCGATAATCTGGCTCACTGTCAGGGGTTTCCTTAACTCTCCTTAGGAGATCACTATAGATTGGGTCCTGAGCATATGCGTTTTTTACTTTCTGCTGTAGATCTGGCCCTATGTCCAGATAATCCACTATTGCCCCAAACTAATCAAGTCTTCTACTTAGGGCATCGGCTACCACGTTATATTTACCTTTCACGGGCTTGAGCTCAAAGTCAAACCGGTCTATCTTTGCTGTCCACCTAGTCAACCTGGGCGTCATCTTGGCTTGCGTCTTTAGCCATCTCAGTGTTTCATGATCTGAGTAGACTTTAAAGTGCCTCCCAAGCAGGTCATGTCTCCAATGATCTAAGGCTTGCCTGAGAGCATAGAGTTATCTTTTGTACATCGAGGCTGCTACTTTTTTTGAAGGCAGCCTGGCTGACATGAACTTTATGTGTCTATAGCCATCGCCGTGATTTTGTTGTAACACAACACCTATGCCATATTGGCTTGCGTCTGTCGCGACGACGAAGGGTAATGAGGGATCAACTACCTTGAGGACAAGATATTCTACCAAGGCCTTCTTTAACTTCTTTAAGGCTGAAGTACAATCTTTGTTCTGTGAAGGGGAGCAACGATAGTAGAGAAGTTTCTCACAAACCTTCTGTAGTAGTTGGCCAATCCTAAAAACGATCGCAACTCAGTTAGAGTGCGAGGAACTGGCCAGTCCCTAATCGTTGCTATCTCGTCGTCCTTTGGTTTGATGCCATCTCCATCTAACAGGTGGCCCATGTACAAGACTTTTGTTTGGCCCACTCACACTTTTTCGCATTGATCTTGAAGTTAGCTTCTCCGAGTTTCTCTCCAAGATCTGCCTCACATAGCCCTCGTGTTCCTGGAGGGACTTACTAAAAATTAGGATATCATCTAAATATACTACGACGAACCTATGTAGCCACGGTCTGAACAAGTTGTTCATGCAACGCTGAAATGTGGCTGGTGCATGTGTTAGTCCAAAGGGCATTACTATGAACTCATAATGCCCATATCTAGTCCGGAATGCGGTCTTGTACCGATCATCAGGATGTACCTCTATCTGATGGTAACCTGACTTCAAGTCTATCTTAGTGAAGTACTTGCAACCTTGCACCCGATCTAACAAATCGTCTATATGGGGCAATGGTTATGCGTTCTTGATGGTTATGGCATTCAGACTCCTGTAGTCGATACACATTCTCAGTTCTCCCTCTTTCTTGGGGACGAACAAAACAGGTGCGCCAAAAGAAGAGGAACTCAGTCTAATCCATCCTTTCTGTAGGTGCTCATTTAACTGTTTACGTAGCTCCTCTAGTTGTTTGGGAGACATTTTGTAGACTGCTCCCTTAGGCGTCTTACTGCCAGACTCTATCTCTATACGGTGCTGAATAGCCCTTGGTACTACCCCTGAGGGTGCTTCAACTCTGGCAATAGCAGGGTGGATCTTATCTTCCTCC